AATTAGTTCTGTCTGTTATATATATATATATATATATATATATATATTATAAATACATAAATAATATAATTTATTTTTTATTTTTCATTTATTTATTTAGATATTTAAATGTAAACCACTTCGACTCGCGTCTGCAAAAATATTTGATGCTCTAGAAAATTTACTGTTTGTCCATTGCATCAATAAATAGTTAAATTAGCAGATATGATGCAGACATGATGGCTTATCGTACATTTTAGTATATACCCTGTATATACTATACCCTGGATAAGTGTGAGTGCATATAATTTTGAAAATATGTCAGTTGGTGCTTCATTAAATTCAGGAATGCATTTCTGGTATCATAGCTAATAAGAAGTAATATTCTTGATTCTTTTATTCTTAGTCAGAATAAGTGAAAGTTAGGTGCACATAATTATAAAAAAAAAAAAACACATAAGAAGATAAAAACATGAAACAAAAAAAGACAATGAAACATAGAACATAGTCCTGCACGTAAATGAGAATCCCTGAGAGAGGTCCGATTCAGGCGCTGCACCAGAATTCTCTGTTTTTCTCATATTTTTAGCATGTGTGCTGCGTATACTTCAAGAGCAAAGACGCAGTATGGTCATCTGCAAAGAATCTCTTTTGCTGGAACCAATGCATTCATTACACACCACAGTAAAGAGCGTGACAGCCTTGCGTGTGTGAGCTGGTGTACTCTTTTGTCTTTTTTTGGAAGCTAAATGTTACAATGTCATATTTTGAGTTATAATCCATCTGCAGAACAAGCCAAGTCCACAATAATCAAAGTAAATGAAAGCAAATGTCGAGTTGGACTTGAGCCCTACTTATTGGTGCAGTTTTGTGCTTTTTTTTGCAGGCGGATTTCTTTGGCCACCCCCCGACAGCTCTTCAAGTCCTCTAATATGACTCAGCGCTGGCAAAGACGGGAGATCTCCAACTTTGAGTACTTGATGTTTCTCAATACCATTGCAGGTCAGATCTTATTTGCTTGTCATTGCTAACCAGTTATTTAAATGAAAGCATTTTGGACTATTTGCAATCACGTTTCCATTGAATCTTTTGGTTGGACATATTGGTTGCCAGCAAATTATTTTATTTTATTTTATTTTATTTTATTTTATTTTATTTTATTTTATTTTATTTTATTTTATTTTATTTTATTTTATTTTATTTTATTTTATTTTATTTTATTTTATTTTATTTTATTTTATTTTATTTTATTTTATTTTATTTTATTTTATTTTATTTTATTTTATTTTATTTTATTTTATTTTATTTTATTTTAGTTTAGTTTAGTTTAGTTTAGTTTAGTTTAGTTTATTTTATGGTATTATTAGTTTCTCTTTTCAAACAAAAATATTCTCTGACAGAAATCTACTGTCTTTCCCCTCATTATTTATTTAGAAGCTATATTTTCTCTTTATACTCAGGCACTCCATTGTTGCGCAAACGCGAGAGCCGAGGACTCTTTGGGATAATTAGTGTGTCTCTGAGTTGAAATATTCTGTTGCAAAGTCTCTGATGTGAACTAGTGAGAACTCTCGCACACACACACACACCTCCTCTTGACACTGAAATGTGTCATCCCTGCTCGCGCTGCATATTCATGCATATTTATATTTAGCTCCAGTGTGAGTTCGAAACATTATTGTCAGCTAATTAGATGTAAGGCAGAGTTGGAACGGGGTAAAATTCATTAAAGGCAGGAGTGGTAATGACCTGTGCTGACAGAGGTGTCAGTGAAGCATGGGCCCACCGACAGGAGAGAGAGAGGGGTGTTAATGTGAAGCCGGTCCGCTCCTAATTAAACACTATTGCGGTGATATTAACATCTTCCACCCAAAAACACATCCAATCAATCAATCAATCAATCAATCAATCAATCAATCTATCTATCTATCTATCTATCTATCGTTCTATCTATCATTCTATCTAACATTCTATCTAACATTCTATCTATCGTTCTATCTAACATTCTATCTATCGTTCTATCTAACATTCTATCTATCGTTCTATCTAACATTCTATCTATCGTTCTATCTAACATTCTATCTATCGTTCTATCTAACATTCTATCTATCGTTCTATCTAACATTCTATCATTCTATCTATCGTTCTAACATTCTATCGTTCTATCTAACATTCTATCTATCGTTCTATCTAACATTCTATCTATCGTTCTATCTGTCGTTCTATTGGTTTCTCTATCGTTCTATCTATCGTTAACGTTAAAAATATCATTATTGATTTCAGCATGAGGGTCAAAGTTTAAACATTCCATTTTGGTGTCCGCATCAAATCAAATTTATAAAAGGGATTTATATACACAGAAAGCCTACATGCAAGTAAATTGTCTACTCTGTAATGTTTTAAATAACCTTTGTGAAAAAACTTCAAAATATGGGTGAAATAATGTTCCATTGTCATTCAGTGTAATACATACATTCATGTAAAGCCTTTTTCCACCGAGCGGTACAGTACAGTACAGTACGATTCGGGACAGTACACCCTGATCCGGCTTGTGTTTCCACCGCCAACATTACCTTTACTTGATAGGCGTGGTGTATGCAGGAAAGTAGCAATCGACATCATTCTCGCATGAAGAAGAAAACGTGACATTGTCTGTGTGTATATGTGTGAAAATATACAATTCTAAAATACACTTATATTTTTTGTGTTTGCGCACTCTGCATGAGCAGCATGGCGGAATGAGTGATGGAGACACTATTCCCCTTGTGTTATCATTCCCCTTGTAGCACGCGCAAGTGATGATTCTCTGTCAACCAATCAACCAGTGGCGATCCTAGACTTCTGGGGGCCCTATGCAAAACTGTGTCGGTGGTGGTGGGGGGGGCTGGAGTGGGGTATGAGTGGTTATGAACAAATGAATGAAACGCATAGGTCCGTGTTTCACTCCGTCTCGAATCGCACTCGCGGAAAGCACTTGAAAAACAGTGTATCTTCCGCGGCTCGGTACGCTTTCAACTAGTTTTTTTAGTCTCGAGCAAGACTGTACGACATTCACATTACATGATTTGACTGATTTTTACTTAGAAAGGGTGACAGCGCACCGCATTAAAAGAAATGATCATTCATGTTTTCATAACCACTGGCCAAATTCAAAAACGAAACTAAAATTAAATCATGTTTGAGAGCAAGGGGGCCCCCTGGTGTTTGGGGGCCCTATGCAGCTTGCGTATTTTGTGTATAGGGAGGATCGGCTCTGCAATCGAAAAAAAAAATTACAATTAATCAGGACATTTTAATTTACAGGGAGAAAAAAAATGATTAAACTTTGGTTTTGATGCTTGAAAATCCCTTTTCGTCTTTGACCAATGAATATTTAGGATGGTCAGTGTTTTCTCTTGGGTATTTTCTCTCAGTATCTTGAATCAGATAGTGTTAGATACAGATACACTTGCAGAGTTCATGGTTTTAGGTTTGTATGCTTTAGAGGTAAATCATTTGCATTTCTATCTCCACTTTTCCTCTCCAGCTACTCTATATACTCGTCAGATTGTCACATTCTCTTTTTCTCATGCACTCATTTGCTTACGTTTACATCTCACAAGCTCACTGACCTGAAAACAACCACATTCCTGTCTGAGCGTATCTTTCTCTATATAACTCTCTCTCCTCCACACCCACTCTTATCCTCATTTCTAAATAATTTCTAAAACTGCAGACTAGAAGACTATTCCGCTATTGTTTTGCTGTTTTCTCAACAGCCATTTGTGGAGACTGTTTAAGTGGCCGGTTCTTGGTCGGAATAAGTTTGTGGAAAAGATCTAATGCTGTTGGCTGTGCAAGACTATATTTAACCTTAGCTATAATTCTTACCCTTTCTGCATTCAGCATCGGTAATATCTGTTTAAAATCTCTCTTCCTACAGCACTGTAATGCCTGAACATGTCAGTGTGGCACCAGGTGGGCAGAGGAAGCCCCCTGGCCTGAGGAAGACAGTGATGTATTGTAATGTATGCTTGTGACATGCACCCTGTGCTGTTTACCAGCTTGAGCTGCCTTCATTAGCAGGAGTTCACAGGTCTGCGGCCGTCCTGACGCATGTCCTTGGCCGACTTGGGGCTCTAACCTCTGAAGGTTCAGCACTGCTGAAACAAAAACGGGGGCATTAACCTCCCTCCTGAGTCCCTTGCTGTGAAGACCCCTGTCTTTGTTCAATAATGTATGGAGGGGTGTGCAGCCTCCGGGGTGAATGTGCGTAGGAGGGGAGTGTGTGTTATTGTAGATAATGAGGTACACTCTTAAAAATAAAGGTGCTTCACGATGCCATAGAAGAACATTTTTGTCTAAATGGTTCCATAAAGAACCTTTAACATCTGAAGAACCTTTCTGTTTCACAAAAGGTTCTTTGTGGCGAAATAAGGTTCTTCAGATTACAAAAAGGTAAGAAAGAGATGGTTCTTTAAAGAACCTTTGACTGAATGGTTCTTCTATGGCATCGCTTGAAGAACCTTTTGAAGCACCTTTATTTTTAAGAGTGTAGGCAGCTTTTTTGGCTTTGTGGTGAATATGCTTTGTTCGGTTCCACCAATGTTATCAAAATGTGTGTTCATCCATGCTACAGATGAGCAGCTAGCAGGGCTGGGCAAAAATCGGAACTGAAGAATTGGTTTCCTTTAAATTAACGAGTGTGAATTTAATTTGAATTGGCCACATCCTAGAGGAAGTTCAATTAGAATTTGAACTGGAATTACATCATTCTATTGATCGGTCTATCTGTCTTTTTATCTGTCCGTTATTGTCTATATCTATCGTTCTATCTCTCATTCTATCTATCTGTAGTTTTATCTTTTGTTTTTTCTGTCTGTTGTTTTATCTATCAATGTTTATGTCCAGGTTCAAATTAAGCTTTATCCATCATTCTATCTGTCTGTTGTTCTATCCATCCATCCATCCATCCATCCATCCACCCATCTATCCATCCATCCATCCATCCATCTATCCATCTATCTGGCTAGCTGGTCTATGCATCTATCCATCTATCTATCTATCTGGCTAGCTGGCTAGCTGGCTGTCTGTCTCTGTCTTCCTGTCCATCTGTTGTTCTGTCTTTTATTCTTTCTGTCTATTGTTTTATATACAGTAATTATCTCTATGTCAAGGTTCAAACTGAGCTTTATGCATCATTCTATCTTTCTATCATTTTATCTATTGTTTTGTTTATCAATCTCTACAGTGCCTTGCAAAAGTATTCAGTATTTTTTTTCACGTTTTGTTATGTTGCTGCCTTATGTCAAACTGCTTTAAATTACTTTTTTTCCACATCACTCTACACTTCATACACCATACTGACAAAGCAAAAACAGAATTG